CTTTCACCAATGGACCTAGACCTTTTCCCGAAAAACAACCCCACATCATCAAACCACCACCCCCGAATTTTACAGTAGGAGTCATGTTTTCAATATTAAATCTGGTACCCAAACAAGTCCTGGTCCATCATTTTTATATATCGTAAATCTACTTTCATCACTCCAAACAACTGACTTCCATTTCCTAACTGTCCAATTTCTTCTTTCAATACACCAATTTAATCAATTTATTCTTTGTTTATTGTTTAGTAGTGGCTTTGCCGCAGGAACGTGAGAAAAAACATTTAATTCGTGTAAAGTCCTTCTAATTGTCCTAGTTGAAACATTGATACTTGTTTTTTCATTAAATTTGTTTTTAATTTGTTCAGCAGATTTTTGATTGTTTAGCTTTACAAGTTTTTTAGTATTTTTTTATTTTCATCATTGATTAATTTAGGACGGCCACTTTGATTTTTTGTAATAAGATCTTGTAATTTTAGTTATTTTGTGGTTTAGTACATTATTTTTATATAGACCGATGATTTCATCACGTTGACTTTCACTTAAGGGTGACATTTTGAGTTTAAAATGTTTCAAAGGAATTGTTCAAAAATTTATTAGAAATGATGTTTGTGTGCAAAAAAATTTAAAACATCATAGATACTTATTCAAGACGTTTGTTATCACATTAAATACGATTTTGTTCAATTTTGTCAGAAAAATTTTTGGTCGGATTTTTTATTTTTTTAACTGTTATTCCTTAGGCACAATAGAAGTTTTAAATTTTGCAACATTTTGATCAGAAATATAAAACAATCACTAATAAAATACCTTTTAGTTTTTGCTGAATCCCATTTACATAAAATTCTTCATGACTATTAAATTTCTATAAAATAGTTTTTCGTGAACCTCTATAAAACTTATTAACCAAGACTCTTCATAAAGTAATGACCATATGAAAGTCTAAAGTATTCTACACCTTCTCATTTACTATCAAGCCTTTTAAAGCGATATTGAGAAATAATCTGAGCTTTGAAGTGAAAAAATAATACCGTTTTTGAATAGCTGTGAATTCAAATTCTTCATGACTATTAAATTTCTATAAAATAGTTTTTCGTGAACCTCTATAAAACTTATTAACCAAGACTCTTCATAAAGTAATGACCATATGAAAGTCTAAAGTATTCTACACCTTCTCATTTACTATCAAGCCTTTTAAAGCGATATTGAGAAATAATCTGAGCTTTGAAGTGAAAAAATAATACCGTTTTTGAATAGCTGTGAATTCATGTAGAGACGACCTTTCGACATGAAAGAGTATTATTCATTAGAAAGCTTTAATGGTGTACTTTAATTTTACTCTAACAACAAAGTTCGAGTTTATTGTAAAACTAGCAACTGCATCTGTGCGCGACTAACGTCGCCCAATTATTATTTACTACATCCCACATAACACATGTACGACATCAGAAAAAAATAAATCATTTTTTTTGAATGTGTGTGTATATGTATATAATAATAATGATTTTATAAAAAAAAAAAGATAAAGACAAATGTTCATTTTATTATTATGAATTGTTGTTAATAGGAAATGATTTGGCAGCAATTTCTTCCGGCCGAGCATACTCCCTAACCATCAATTGATCAACCATGAACGCCTCCCTTGAAAGAGAGTTGATTCTGAGATCTTCCCATTTGGCACAACGGCCGAGAGTAACATAAGCCTGTCCATGAGCAAATATCTGTTGGTCAAGGCAGACAGATATACTTGGCAAGGTTAACCCTTGTGTCTTGTGGACTGTTATACCAAAAGCATTCTGTATAGGGAATTGAGTTCTGCTTGCAGGGTTCCCGTTAAGTTCAAAATTAATCTTCTGCTTGGAGAGGACAGCATCAACAATGGCAGAATGAACAGAAAAGACAACCCGAATTTGTTCATTATCAACATCAACATCTGTTGTTTTAATAAACATAAAAAAAAACAAAAGGTTAAGATGGCAGACTTATTTATTTATTTCTTGTGACAAAACAATTAATCTTTATTTTTTTTATTTTTAATAAAAAAAACAATTGATCTTTATTTTCGTTATCATTGCATAATCAATCTTTATTTTTGTTATCATTAAATAAACAATCAATCTTTATTGTTTATTGATTATTAAAAAAAACCCGAATCAGCTAATTCTTTTTTTTTATTTTTCGCGATTAGCCAAATTTTTACCTTTGATCAAAAACCATTCACGAATTTTAATTGTTGATGGTAATGTTGTACGTGAAAATGAAATTATGTGAATTCGCAATTCACATATGTGAAATTCAAATTAGCCAATCAGAATTTCACCCCACTAATACTAAAATTATTTATATAATTACTTACATCTTTAAAGGCTGAACGTAATTCAATGAATTATATATTAAAATAGATTTAAAAAATTTTGCTTCACGATTAGTAATTTTGGTATAACGAATGTACAATAAAATTTGGTTGTCTACATGTATGCACAAATTTTGAGTAAGTCCTTAATAAACTAATTGTACAATTATATCTTGCGTATTAAAACAACTCTTGCAGAACGTATGGTATGGCCCATATTTTTCTATACAAAATTTTATTCTAAATCCTTTTTTGGGGGATTTAAACATTGGTATACAACCAATGCTCATACCCGCCAAAACCAATCGGGCAACAGTTTTTATATACTGTCAATCTAATTCAGTAAAATAGCAGATTTAGATTAAATCATTTAACAACTACTAATATAAATCTCAGGTTCTGGTTAGTGATTTAAGAAGTTTTGAATAAATAAATCATTTTATTTGTTTGTTTATTGAATTCTTTTTTGTTAATCATCATACAGCTTTTACACTTTGGATGATTATTCTATAGCTCTAAATAATGTAAAGGATTACTGGACCGAATGAGTAATGATTGTAGAGTGATTTGAATGGTATGTGGTGTGTTATTAGCCTGGTGAACATGCGAAGAAATTTAATATTATAATTTAATATTTAATATTTAATATTCATTCATTAGACAAGAATTGTGTAATAGTTTAATATATATCCTAGGTAGTGAGTGAGTGTTAAATGATCAACTGATTATAATAATTCACTGATTTATAAAATATTTGCTATATATAAAGTATTAAATTCATATCAACGAACAAAAAATATACAATAAGAGCAATAGAGATGAAACTTCAAATGTAAAAGATCATAAACGTGGGAAATGTATAGTTGGTCATTATGCAAGCACATGTACAAATTGAATAGCTTTCATCTATAAATGTATTTCTTCTCGATTGTAATTTGCAAATAAATTAAATAAGTTAATGATTAAGTTGCTCATATCTAAATTGCTCTTAAACATCTGAATATTTTTTTAATATGTTTATTTGGTTCTGAAATTACCACCTTTTATGTAGTTGGGTATAGGATGGACTCTATGTAATCACGTGTTAGTATAACTGGAGAAAACAAAAACTAATTATAATTAATATTAATACTTATACTAACACGTATAAAAAAAAAATACGGAAAATAGGTTTTTTAAAAATATGGAAGAGTACAAATTACACTATTCCATCTTCATTCTCAATTTATTTTATTGCCATCAATTACCAAATTTGTTAATGTGGTTGTTGTACGTGAAAATGAAATTATGTGAATTCGCGTGAAATTCAAATTAGCCAATCAAAATTTCACCCCACTCCATAATATTTCAATTTCACATACAACATGGTCAACAGATGAGAAAAAGGAAAATCGAATTTGGGGTAATGTAGCACTTAAAACAGAATTCGAGATTGGCATTTTTCCTTGAGATTTTTATAGGTGGCTCTTTAGTTAAATCAAAACTTGACAAGATCACCTTTATATTATTGTGATAGAATTTGAAAGATGACGAAAACAAAATTTTTCAAATAATTAAAGGTTAATTTAAATAATGAACCTAGTATGTTTAAATCTTAAATATCAATATTATATTTGAAAAGGCTATTCAGTAACTGCATTAAAGATTAATATTCTATTTATTATTATTAGGAAATCATTTGTTCCCGTTGAATTTCAAATTATTATATTATTACAAATGTACAGTTTTAAAATTATTTATTGATTAAAATACATAAAATTTAATTTACACAAAAATTATGAGCACATAAAAGCATAGTTTGGAAAATTTTAAGCATAACCCATAGACATTCTATGAGAGCATAAAAGCACAATTTGAAAAAATGCGTAATCCTGAACACACTATGAATTAAAAAAAATTCCATTAACTAGTTAAAAATAGATATTACTAATGCATATTGTCATGGCTCCTGTTAATGTTAGTGGCGACGATGTCATCATAACTGTTGTTGTCAATGTAGTAGCTATTATTCATAATTTGATTGTATGTTTGATAATAACTGGTTGAAGTAAATCGGCAAATTATATTTTCTCCTATTTTTTTCATTGAAGAGAAAAAAACAAATTTTCGTAATTATTTCTTAAAAAAAAATAATATCAACTTAAATTTTACCTTTCTCAACATCGTCGTCGTCATTATTATTATTGCCATTATCGTTATATGATTGAACAATAAAAATATTTTTAGAACATTCCCAATTTTTACGCAAACAATTGTCACAACTACCATTCCCTTCTGAGCATTTCCTATGTGATTTTTTACAATTTTCACATGCTCTTGAAACGTATGGGCCTCTATTATTACTATATTTTTTATTTTTAGTGTTGTTAGTGTTGGTGACGATGTTGTTATTAAATTCGCTGTTACTACAGATACCAATGTTATTTTTTATCATTATTATTAATAATTAAAAATGAGTCTATAATAACAATAAGATACTAAGTGGTTTGAAAAAATATTTGTTTTTACTGAGAGAAAAGGATCGATCTTTTTTATATAAGCAATTATATTACGACGATATTATTATTTGTTGCTTGAACTTACCATTTGATAAATTACTAATCATAAACAAATATTATGCGTGTATTTTACATAATTTTAGGTACAAAAAATATTATAAATTGTACGTATATTATTAATCCCTACAATTAATATTTATTACAGGTTTGTTTTCCGGACACCTATTGTACAAATATCTAAAGATAAAATCATTGTGAGCACATATATCGTGCATGGAATTCGTCTGTTCATGATCATGTATTTATTATGAGTTTGTTTCCAGAGATAAGGAACTAATCAAAATTACATTGATTGATCAGAATAACATTAATTTCATCGCTGCTGTTAGTAATGTTATACAATATAAATAAATTACTAAGTTTATTGGTGTATGTTGGATATTGGATGCGGAAAAATACATTGTTATTATTGTCAAGGCTTGGCCATTTTATAGTTGATTCAAAGTATAGTTATTTGCCGTAATTGTTTTTGAGGAAAAGTAATTATGGCAATAATTACGAATTTTCGATACGAATGAACATAAAATAACTATATATTTATACGCCATTTGACTTAAAGAGTCAAATAACTACGGAGATAATTTTGGCAATTATGAAGGACTGGGAGAATTTGGAACGTCCAAATTCGGTGAATTGGGAATTTTTTAATTATTAATTATGGCAGATACGGCGATGATCATTTATTAAGAAGGATAATTATGGCGAACAACCATTATTTGAAGTAAATGTCAAATATCATTTATAAAAGCTCTGATAAAAATTTAGAGTGTGAAATCTTTGAAATCTCTCCGAAGTTTTCGTGACCGTTGGTCATGTGGTCATATATACAGTCATATAATTTCAATTGACCAATAAATTCATAGTTTAAAGTTCAAAGAAATCACAATATATTTGAAAATAAATTTCTTTTTAGAAACATAATATTTGACTTTAGAGAATAAACAAATACAGAAAAGAAATAATTAATTAATTCGTGATCCATCAGTGAATGAAAGGATCTACATAGTAATTCCCCCACAAACAATATTAATATAGATAGGTTACAGGTACACTTAGTATGAGAGACCTAATCTATCAATAAAAAGATTATTCAAGAATCTGTCATTAAACAGATTCAGTAACTCTTCTGGGGGAATGATATTTCTTAACTGCACAAATGGCAGCTTTATCAGAAGGACCCATTCTTAGGCACTAATAAGCTTATAACATCTTCATGCAATTTTACAGAGAGAAATATGATAATGGGACAATTTGTTGTAAACCCTCCAAGAGTTAAAATTAGTGAAAAAATGTGGTTCCTTAAAAGTAAAGATTTTCCACCTTTTGGCGCAACATTGGATGTCTTTAGATGATCGGCATCATACCATAAATGGCTGGTCTAAGCGGATATTTTTCAATTTATCATCATGTGACAGATCACGAAATCAATTTTTGATGAAAAACTCTTTCCAAATAATATTTAGGTATTTAGGACATTCAAACTTTTTCATCAAAAATAGTTCAGAGTGCATATTTAACATGCTCTTTAGAGGCATTACAAATAAAAGAAAATGTAAGATAATTAACAAATATAAAGAAAATTTTAAAGCTGTAAATTTTAATTTACTGATTAAAGAAATTTTACAGGAATTTGTTATTATTGATCTAGCGGAAGAGGGCATTACTTTTAGTGTATCAAGCATTTATAATACTCAAGGTTCTATTTAATTATTAAAGATCATTATCATGCCATAATCATATTAATTAATCAACATAACTTAAAAAAAATTAGCAACAGTGTTTTGGAATTCTAATATATTTGAAAGCTATGATTATAACAACACTGTTTCTGGCCGAATCCGACTCAAAGTTCATTTAGATTCTTTAGTTTCTGTTTTAAAAACTTTTAATATTACACTTATACATGAAAGTAGTAGTGCTCATTGGTCGATTTCATATGATGTTGTTGATGGCAGCCTTATGATCAAGTAAGTAATTATTAATTATCATCATCATTATTTAAATAAATTGAAAAGGTGAAGGAAGGAATTATTGATAGTTGATTAATTATAAATTCTTTTGAATAAAATAAATAGAACGAATTTTTTCGGAGGTGCAAGAAAAGAGTCTAGGCTGACTACTACTTTAATTGATGATGAAAACAACGAATTTAATTTGTTAAATGATCAATATGTAAATCAAAATACACTTTATGAAATTAAGATCAAGGTAATTATAAAGTACCAAATTATTGTCATAATTATATAACACTATCATTTATATTAGAAACTTTTTGTTTTCTCTGCCCAAATATTAGTCAACCTATTTGAAAAGTTGCTTATTAAACATCGGAGTTATGAAAACTTTCAGTGTTGAAATAAAATGTGAAGCATCAAGATCTAATGACTGTGACAGTGACAATGAAAACAGACATTTTTTATTATTTTCAGCAATTGATGTTTATGGAAGAAAAGAAGTACGATGCAATCTCTTATTTATTTATTATTTTAGAATGATGTTATCGTTTATATTTCTCTTTATCTAACATTATTCTACCCTAGTGCAAAATTCCAATTGCATGTCCTCTAAATCATCAGGGACTAACACCATCATTTAGGTAATTTATATATATATTTCATAATCTTTTTAAATTTTATAATGATAATAAAGATTATTATTAATATTAATAGTTATAAAAACCTGTGTCCACAACAAATTTTACCAATGATGCCAAGAGAAATAAATGCAGAAATAATTATTAAAGAAAATGGAATGATGTTGATCAAGGTTAGTAAAAAATTTATTCCATTTAAAATAAATAGATATAATAATAATAGTAAATATTAAAAAAAATATCAATTTTTTTAATTAGATTCCTATAAATAAAAATTTAAATATTGAATACATAGTAACTATATTATAATTTATTTATTTTTTATCTCTAAAACAAACCATAATATTTATATATTTATATATTTATTAACGAATTTTTATTTCCTGAAATAGTATTCTCTTTTAAGTATTTAATTCGTGATCCACCAGTTAAGATTAACCAGCGGCAATTTTTTTAATGGTAACTTACATACTTTATGACTTATTATAGAATTCTGAGGGATAATAATAACAACAATAATAAATTTATTTCTTTAGTACCGGAAAATTTTGTTCAAGATAATCATCAAAGTTAAACAATTATAAAGATATATATTATTAACTGTATACAACATTAAAAACAAAAAAAAAATTTTTTTATTGGAAAAAAATTATATTTATTTATTTATTTATAAAAAAACTAACTGATGGTGATAATGATAATGATAATAAAAAATAATGATGGTATATAATAATAATAATAAATCTAAATTACAGATTAATGTACTTATTCTCTAAATTATCAATCAACGTACTTATACTTTCTTTAATAGATTAACATGCTTATTCTTTCACTAAATAGAATTCCAGCTTTGATTATTAGATCCAAGGTATGATAACCAATATTTAAGGTATAGTAATAAATATTTAACCAAATTCCTCTTTCTTTTCTAAATTCCCATTTCTTCTCCTCCTTGTCACTTTCACTTTCACTTTCACTTTCATTTTCATTTTCATTTTTTATATCATTATTTTCATGCTCAATTTCATAAGGTAATAATGGAACATTAAAAAGTTTTTGTAGTTTTGGTAATAATAAAAAATAAATTAGAAACCAATATGATATTCCAAATATCAATCCAGTAGAACTTTCTTTAATATTGTGGAAATATGTTACTGTGAAAAATAACATATTGATCCACAAAATCAACAAACCAAAAAATATTTTTTTAAAAAATTTAAACTCATTCAATTCAAGTATTTTTTTCTTGTTGAATGATCCACATATTTCCTCTAATAGAAAAAGTGAAGAATGCACTAATAAGAAACAATGTCCGCTGGCATCATGTCCATTAATCCACTCTCCCTTCAACTGTTTACATTGATATGAACTATTAATATCATTTGTTTTTCCATAATTTGAAAAGTTTTCTGTGTCCTCATTAAATCTACAATTGCCTCCACTCATTGTAAATATCATATCAAATACACTTGGTCCAAATAAAGTTTTTTGCGTTATTATATACCAATAACCTGTTGATGCAATGTAACGAAGTATAGAAAAACCTAGTTTCTCTCCTTGTCTCTCGTTTTCATTCATTGCTAAATAAGCACCATATACTACTGTAGTCCAAAACCATCCGTTCTTTGCAAATATTCTATTAAATACATTGTTCTTTGATTGATAATATGTCTCTTCTAATCTTGATACTAGTCCAACAAATACTACTAATATATAAAACAGTACAATAAAACCTTGTAATTTCGATGTTTTGGAATTAAAGGTTTTTTTTAACGAAGCTTTAAATTTTAATACGCTCTTACGATTTATATATTGATCCATTTATAATACAATTTTTGTATATATATATGACAATAAAAGAATGTGAAAATTTTTTATAAATTATAATCTTCCTCCACATGATAAATGAATATGTTGAATGGATCATGTTGATCATTTTTTTTTTTGTGTTCGACATCCGACTCATTCGGAGTCTTGGAAACAATTATTATTTATTATATGAATAATTGGTAGGAATAGCTCAAGATTAAGAGGTTTATGTATTTTATTATTTTATTTACAAATAAATGTTTTATTAAAAAAGGATTTCAAGTACTTTTTACAACATCTATTTGATCTAAAGAATATCTTTTCATAATAGTTCTTTCATCACTTTAATTTCTATTATATTCCATCCTTAGCGAGTGACAAAATGTAATTATTATTTGATCTATTCGGTCGTTATTACAAAAACTTCATCAATTAACTAATAACTTTTCCAAATATAGCTATCACCATCCCAAATAACAAGAACTTGATGATATTTATCTATTTTATTCCATTTGTAAATCTGAGATGTTTAACTTTTATGTTTAATTTGTTTTCCTGCACTTAGAATGACCAATGGATATTGTTCTTCACAATTTGTGTATAATGTTTTCAAGAGACTAGGCGTGCACAATCTCATGTAACTATTAATGGAAAGATACTTGATGTAAAAGTAGATGGTGCTATTGAGTGTATCAACCTATCATTGTTGCATCCAGGTTGCTTCAGCTTCTCATTCTATTTTACCGCACTTCCCAAAACTTACCTACCTACACCGATGATTAACACTAATCAATTTATACCAGACATTCAAAACACTTCAACGCACTTTTAATATCAAAAAGATCTGATGGGTGTCTCACCTGGTCAGAGATATTTAACAAAATAACTGGCCATTCACTATATGATGTTCCACTTGTTAATACATGAGATTATCTATATATCTTATTTACATAATGTATATATATAAAACCCTTTTATCAAAAATGAAATGTAGATCTTTTACAAAATTCTTGAAAATTAAAATTTTATTTAATATATTATATAATATTACTATGATAAACTCTATCCTGTTATCAATCTCAGATCAAGCCAACCTTTTATGGTTCTTCAACATTTGTATTAGTATTATTATTGACTACTTCTGAAACTTCTTGACTAATAAAATTGTCATTAACAAGTTCTCGTAAACGTGAAATCAATGAATCAGCGATTTGAGATGTTAGATGAGATGATAATGATTCCATCATCTTATCAAGTCTCAAAAAATTGTCATTATTTCGGTACTTTTGTGCCATATCAACTCGTCTTAATTGTTATTATCATTATTAATATCTCAACAATCAAATCAATTAATTAATCAATAGTGAAGATTATTTGTACAACTTACTGATCATAGTTATGATATTCCCTAATCAATTCGGATAATTGAGAAAACATATCTTCAGGAAAAGATTCAGATCGTGATACTAAATGTTCGCACTCATAAGGTGTTCCTAAATAACATCAACATAATAATAATTATTAATTCATAATATCTGTATATACACGCATATCATTAACTTACTATATTCGCCTGAAACATCATATTTGGTACCGCTCATCCAAAATTTAAATTTTGAAATATTAGAAACATTCTCTGCATCGTATGGGGTTACAATCACTCCGATAAATGGTTCCAAACCATCATCACGTTTCCACATTTCCTAAATAAGAGAAAATCAAAAACATCAAATATGTATGATTTATTCAAAAATAAAATAAAGTTTTAAAATATTATTAACATACCTGATACTGGGATTGATTTTCAATGTCACGAATTGAAGGCTGAGGTTCAAAAGTTGGATGAGAGTGATACCAACCAACAAATTCCAAGCACTTTTCAGAAAAAACCTCTCTTGCAGCAACCTCAGACTCAGGATCCATTTCACACTAAAGTTAGATAAAATTTGGAAAATGTATATATGTAATTGTTGTAGATTCCTAATAATATTATTTATTATTATCTGAATTCTAATAAATTTTTTATACCTGAAAACCAGTACTTAAACTTTTACAAGGATATACATAAGTAATTTCCATTAGTTGACTATCAGAATGGAAATGACCTCCAAGCAAACCAATGATTTCAGTATGGGCCAAATGAGCATGAAAGTCCATCATGAGCTTATAAATATATATAATATTAATATTTTCCGTAATATAAATTTTTTTTAAAAAACCCCAATTTATAAATATAATTACCATAACATTAGTAGAAACAGACAATTTAAATGGTGCAGGATATCTTGATGTATAATGCATGGGTTTTACCAGACGAAATGGATCATAATCATAGGCTAAATCGTCGTAAAGTTTTTAGTTAGGGCTAAATAGATTTAAACCAAATCTCCATACAATATTAAAAAAGGATATTTCATTATAATTAATTTTCCCTTCTTTTTTAGCAGTACGAATTCTTTTGCTTCTACGTGTCAAATCATCACCTGAATTTGTTTTAAACATTTAGGAAAGCTTTAAGCAAAATTAAAATCCAATTTATAATATTAAAACAAAAATCTGTAACCTTTAGTTCCACCAGTAAGATTGTTCTCGTAATCATCGTCGTCATCACTATCATCATCACCGTAAGTATCAACATCGATATCATTTTTTAACCTTATATTGATTAATAATATTAGCATGATTTTTATTATCATAATAGAGACAACATATATGTGTGTGTGTGTGTTAAAAGATATTATAAATAAACCATATAAATTACCAATTTTTATTCTTACGAGCTCTAAATTATCAAAAGTTGAAAATAAATAGTGGTTTTTAAACAAAATCGTATTTGAACCAGATAATAATAACTATGATGTCAAAATTTTTATTCATAATGAAGAAAAACTTGTCACTGAATTTCATGCACATTCATTAATCCTATGTGTCCAGTCTCCATTTTTTAAAAAAGTTTTGTCAAATACAACCAAAGAAGATAAAAGTGGCTTTTTTAAAAATGTTTTGTCAAGTACAACCAAAGAAGATCAAAGTGGCTATTATGTTATTAATAAATCTAATATTAGCGAACCTATTTTTAAAGATATTCTCAAGTGAGTTTATTTAATAAATAAATTAATAAAAACATTATTTATTCACTTTATTAGTGCAGTATAATAATTTTTATTTGTTGGTTTTTAAAAGGTATATATACACGTGTAAAGTAGAATTAAACAATTATACTTGTGTTGATTTATTGAACTTGTTAATTTCAGCAGATGAATTTGATCTTGAGTCACTTGTTAATTATATAATGAAATATTTTATTGAAAATCAAAACAAGCTATTGACAAGTAAAAAATTGAATTTAAACGAGCAAAAGCACAAGATTCTATTTATTTAGAAGCATAAAAATTGTTTATTTATAATCTTGTATTCAATTCTTCCTTCAAAGTCTGTTGTACGGAAAACGTGCTATGTCGATCACATAGTATTAAGTTAATAAAGATAACGTAATTTTACAACAATTAAATTACTTAGTTCGTTTAAATAGACCGTTTAAACATTTGAACGTTTACATAATGGATATAACATCATTAATAGAACATTTGGAAAGGTTTGAAAAATTATTAGAACCAGATAATAATAACTATGATGTCAAAATTTTTATTCATAATGAAGAAAAACTTGTCACTGAATTTCATGCACATTCATTAATCCTATGTGTCCAGTCTCCATTTTTTAAAAAAGTTTTGTCAAATACAACCAAAGAAGATAAAAGTGGCTTTTTTAAAAATGTTTTGTCAAGTACAACCAAAGAAGATCAAAGTGGCTATTATGTTATTAATAAATCTAATATTAGCGAACCTATTTTTAAAGATATTCTCAAGTGAGTTTATTTAATAAATAAATTAATAAAAACATTATTTATTCACTTTATTAGTGCAGTATAATAATTTTTATTTGTTGGTTTTTAAAAGGTATATATACACGTGTAAAGTAGAATTAAACAATTATACTTGTGTTGATTTATTGAACTTGTTAATTTCAGCAGATGAATTTGATCTTGAGTCACTTGTTAATTATATAATGAAATATTTTATTGAAAATCATGAAGACTATATAAATGATAACACAATTAAAATTCTGCGATTTATCTGCACCAATAAAGAAAAATTTAATAAATTAAGAGATATCTGTGTAGAAAAAATTTGCATTGATAGTGGAAAATTTTTTAATTCAAAAGAATTTGATTCATTTGAAGAACCAATTTTATTGGCAGTTCTTGGAAAAGATGATTTATATGTTGATGAAATAGAAATTTGGCAAAGAATTCTTAAATGGGGATTAGCAAGACATCCAGAAATCAGCAATAACAATATTGAAAATTGGTCAATCCAAAATTATACTGATTTAGGAAACACATTAAAAGAATTAATCTTATCAATTAGATTCCAAGATATTTCTAACAAGGACTTTCGTGATAAAATTAAACCATATCAGAAACTTATTCCTGTGGATTTATGGAATAAACTTTTAGAATATTATTTATTTCCTGATGATCGAGCAGCTTTATGTTTATCACCACCAAGAGCTTTAAAAATTGATTCAATAACAATTAGTCGAATTAATAAAAGGCTTATATTGCTTTTTGCAAGTTGGATTGATAAAAAAAGTCCACCATATCATTCATTCAGTGATATTAAATATGAATTTAAGCTTATATATCGTAGTAGTAGAGATGGCCTAGATGCGACTTCATTTCATCAAAAATGTGACACTTTTAACAAAACTCTTGTAGTTGCTAAAATACAAGATTCGGAACAAATAATTGGTGGCTATAACCCACTTGATTGGAGTGGAGCCGCTTTATTTAAACTGACAACTGAAAGTTTTATTTTTAATATAAGAAATAGGAATGATACTAATACTGCACTGCATAGTTATGTTATTAATAATAAATATGATTGTGCAATTGGTTGTAATTCTTCTCATTTACCTATTTTTGGTAGTAGTTGGAATGAGTGGCAATTTTTTTTTGAAGTGAATGGTAATATTCATAATGGACAAGGCACTTATGATAGCATCAATATAGTGAATGGTAGTAAATTTGATGAATTAGAAGTTTTTCAAGTAATTGATAAAAATTAAAATAATAACTTATATAGAGTATGATGCACCACATCATCTAAAGACAACAATGTAATCTTTTTTTATGTTTATGTTGAAATATTTATTATTAATACATTTTCTAAATTTTTTAAATATGAGTTATTTCACCAAAAACTATTTTTTTACAAAATGACATATCACATGATATTGCTCACCAAATGAAAGATTGTATTTGCGACACATATTTATGACAAAATAAATTAAAGATCGAATAATTTTCGTTATCATGATTATATTGACAACATATTTTTTTTTTATATAAAATTTTTACATTTAGGCAATCAGAGTTTCAACTATATAAAAGGAAGAAAAATTTTTTGGAGAGTGATCAGCAATAGCTAGCAGAGCAAAAGAGCAAAAGAGCAAAAGCAAAGCAAAAGTAGAGTTAGCAAGAGTACATTGAATATTTCAAAATTTGCTTAAAGATGAAGACATGTAGATTGTAGAATTTAGAAACACGGCAAACTTTCAAAAAAAAAAATTCGTTAGTAAATTGATGATTGTCGTAAAGGAAAGCAGCAGTTTTAAAATCTTTGATTTTCATTGCAGTTATTACACTTAAAAAATTTTTTTTAAATTATCCAAGTAATAATATTAGTAAAACCATGCAAAAACGAACCAAAAATTTGAATTTCTCACTATTGATTGTATGTAATTGCAAAGTTGTAGAATTCCTTAAAATCAAATTTTCATCTCCTGTGCAGGTTTTCCTTCGTTAGTCTTTGAGTTGAATGCCACACATTGTTGAAATTTTTTTTGATTCAAAAATCTTGAAATCTTCTAGTTGTATATCTACACATCTAAACTCGATAAGTCGGACGCAGCAATCAATTGTTTAAAGTACTTTATAATATAAATAAATGTCCGACTTATCGAGTTTAGATTTTATGTAAGAGTAACCTATTTAAGAAACAATGCAACAACCATTAATATCACAGTCACATTACATGACAGCTTAATCACTGAACTTTCCTGATTTTGTTTTGTCGTCGATCCTAATCTTATTCAATGAACCATTCAAATTTTTTCTCTTTGGCAGAAGAAATAGAATTTCCAAAAAAAAAAAATGGATACAACATTATTAACAGAATATTTAAAAAATTTTGAAAGATTATTAGAACCAAATAATAATAAATATGATGTCGTAATTCACCTTCATCAAGAAGAAAAATTTGTCATAGATTTTCATGCACATTCGTTAATCCTATGTGCTCAGTGTCCATTTTTTGAAAAAGCTCTGTCTAGTGCGAGCAAAGAGCATGGCGGCTATTATGTTATTAACAAATCTAATATCAGTGAATCTATTTTTAAAATTGTTCTAAAGTGAGTTTATTTGATAAATTAATCCATCCACTTTATTAATACAGTGCAATAATTTTTATTTATTTATCTTTAAAAAAGGTATATATATACATGTAAAGTGGAATTAAACAATTACACTTGTGCTGATTTATTGAGCTTATTAATTGCAGCAGATGAATTTGATCTTGAGGCACTTTTCAATTGCACAATAAAGTATTTTATTGAAAGTCATGAAGGCTATATAAATGATAACACTGTCAAAGTTCTACAATTAACCTACACTAACATGACAAGATTTGATAAACTAAAAAATATCTGCGTGGAAAAAATTTGTGCTGATGGAGAAAAATTATTTGAGTCAAGTGGATTTAATTCATTGGAAAAGTCACTTTTATTGGAGATCATTGAAAGAGATGATTTCTGTGTTGATGAGATAGATGTTTGGCAAGGAATTCTTAAATGGGGTTTGGCAAGACATCCAGAAATCAGTAATAACAATGATGATGTTAAACAATGGACAAAACAAAATTTCATTGATTTGGGAAAGACATTAAAAGAATTGATTTTATTAATCAGATTCCAAAGCATCTCTAATAAGGATTTCCGTTTTAAAATTAAACAATATCAGAAACTTATTCCTGAGAGTTTGTCAGATAATCTTTTGGAATATTATTTGTATCCTGATGAACAAACAACTTTGAATTTATTACCACTAAGAATTCCAATGGTTGATTCAACAATCATTACCAATAAAAGCAATATTTTGCTTTTTGCAAGTTGGATTGATAAAAAGAGCTCACCATACAATTCATTTAAAACAGTCAAGTACAAATTTAAACTCATATATCGTAGCAGCAGAGATGGTTTAAATGCAACTATATTTCATCAAAAATGTGATAATATTGAAAAAACTCTTCTAGTTGCCAAAATACAAAATTCTGATCAAATAATTGGTGGCTATAATCCACTTAAATGGAATAAATATACAATAATAGATGGAAGTTTTATATTTAATATAAGTAATAGAAATGATATTAATACTGCACTAT